AAAAATCTGGTACACTTTGTATATGTGGTCAACAATTTAGGGAAACAGTCAATGCTGCACAGGTGCGCACCCATGAGCACCCTCTGCAGTGGATAGAAGCCCACTACTTAGTGGAATATGAATGCTTATTTATGTACTCTTTTCACAAGTGAAGTCAAAGACTCACTAGTTTGTTTTTAATATTAAAAAAATGAATGAAGCAAGAGGTGTTTGAATTAATGGATGCTAATTGGAGTTCACGCACAACATAAAATATGAAGTTGTATGTCTTTTTCTGTTGTGACATATGGGAACAAATATGAGTGCTCATTTAGTCATTTTATTAATAATCAATGTAGGACGGCATTGTTATGTTAACAATGAATTTAGAAAAGGAAACGACATTAGGCTTTGTGAGCTTAATGTAGACAGAGAGTTACAACAAAATATAGGAATAACTACCATCCTCGGGAATGTATTTGTAGTTCATTTATCTTATTGCACGAGTGTCACGGAAGGGTTTCACTTCTACTCTTGATTTTGGCTTAATGTCAACTGTCTGGAAATAATATGCTATGGTTTCTGATTCTCTCAATGGGTGCCAAAAGGTAGATGAGTAGGACCTAAAGGAGTTAAGTGGTTTGCCTGAATGTCTCGGATTTACTTGAAGATATGCAACTACGCCCTTGAGATAGACGGAGTTGTATATCCTCCTATGGAAATATTAAAAGCATTGCTTGAAAGTTCAAGGAAAAGCTACTTGGTATGCGAACATAATTGTAAATATTTCCTTTTGTAGTCCAAGGAAATATTAAAAGCATTGCTTGACTGTGAGGACCAGTCAATGAGTCAAAGCAAAAGTTGACTCCTCGTCCTCGTTTTCCTTGCATCACAACAAATGCCTGCATTATGGTGTATAGAATTAAGTGTTCCTCTAAAGAGTTCCTGTAGTGGAAGTGTTTTAGTTGATATACAAATTGCTTTCCTGGTGCTTTTGGACCAGATATTTCTTATATTTGTGTACTTGTCAAATGCTATCCACATTTCATCCTCCCCTGTACCAAAGTATTTTCGCCTTGTTTTGGCTTTATTGGGATGGTTTGCATTTGTCTATTCACCACCACAGAAGGTAGTCACATCCATAAAGTGCTATGTTAGATTGAAATTCCCCATAAATAAAGCCCCTTTCATATATCTGTGATGCTATGCTTATGTGGTTATGGAACCTATGCGTTCTGCTCCATAGGTGATCACAGATGATTTATATGGGTTTGTCACTTGGTCTGCACTTGCATTTATTGAAGATATGGTGATAGTGGTTCAAGTGCGCGCCTGCAGAAACTTCACTTTCCCTTAAAAATGGACAAAACATAGCTCTTTGAAAAATATCGTGCGGAAGAGAAATTATGAAGTCATTGTCATATGATGGAGTGCTTGCCTCTCTATCTTAAATGTTCGAGAGACCTTTAGAAGCCTTTGGGTGAGGATTTATAACATTTACTATATTAGCTTGTTTTTACTATTTTTGGCATAAAAATTAAAGAACAAGTATATACCATAGCTGCGCAGAACAGTAGGTAAAAAATTTCCAGAAAATTTTAGGTTTGAATCTATGTCATAGTTAGAGGAATCTAAGAAAATACCTTTTGTGATATTTTAGGGGAATTATGCTATTTTCTCTTGGCTCTTGGTAGGTTGTCACTGCCTATAACTATGATGGCTAATTTTTAATTTTTTTTTAATAGAACATGTATAATGAGAGGTTAAGGAACGTCTTTTGGTATGCTTTTATGAGCCTAACTGTTTTTATGGGCCTTGATAGAATGGTTGTCTTTTAAACATCACATGCAAATAAATGACTACGATGGAAGGCGGAAAACTGGTACAATACTCCTTTTAACCAGTGCTTCGGTGTCTGCGTTAGATATAACTCAACCACCTCAGCTTCTCCTCAACCTATGTCATCTAAACGCTCTCTCCTAAAAATCCTATCCCTTTCTACATGCATTTCAATTTGAATCCAATCTCCCATTTATCTGTAACTACAATCCATCCATGCACTCCTACCTTAGGTGAGCTCCTTTCTATGCACCATCCATGAAACTCTCTTGACTGCTTCTCCTGATGTCAATCTTGGCCAATTTCTACCTCTCTTAACGACATCCTCTTGGTACACCTCTCCTATTGAAATCAGTGCATTAGGTTGACGTTCAGATGATTGAGCCACCTAAGCTTCTCCTCATTTAGTATCACCCAACCTTCTCTCTTAGATCCTATACAGTGGTACATCATCCTCAACTAGAATCCAATCTCCAATTTTATAATTCACTTGTTTCTGTTTTCATCTCCTTGGTTCATATCAATCTTTAACTACAAAAACAATCCTGAATTTTCATGAGTTGTTGACTTGTTCAGTAATGTTCTTTAGGGTCATTATTAAGTTATACAAGAGTCCAATTTTATAATTCACTTGTTTCTGTTTTCATCTCCTTGGTTCATATCAATCTTTAACTACAAAAACAATCCTGAATTTTCATGAGTTGTTGACTTGTTCAGTAATGTTCTTTAGGGTCATTATTAAGTTATACAAGAGTCTTACCCTATTTTGTAACTCCCTTGATCCATTCAATTGTAATAACAATGGGATCACCATTCATTAATGACTGGTTTTCCTATAACATGGGACTGCTTCTTGTTGGGTAATTAATTATACCAGGGAAGTTTCTCATTCTTTCCCTGTAGCACACTTAACTCAACAAACCTAGAATTGGTAGCTCCTGAACATGAAGATGCATATAAGTAGAAACAAAGAGATTCAAGCAGTTATTTGTTTTTCTCTTGTAATTTTGTGAACTTTTCTTATATTCTTTCTATGGGCTTCGTTCTTGTGAAGGACTCATCTTGCCTCTAGCTTATGCATAGATCAAAAGAACAGGGACTATTCATAGATGTTGAATGATGAGAGTTTGCTTTGGGTGTCTTTTTAGGATCTTCAGATCTCCAACAGAGGTGTGTATAGATTCTATTTTAGGTACAACACATATATTAGGAACCCTCCCTCTAATATTTGCAAAACATTTATCGTAACAACACTGTTATTATGGAACATAATGAATTGAAGTTTGACCCTCTTATTACTGCAAACTACGTTACCAACCCTTTTTTAGTCATTCAGATACTTGCAATAGATGACGTTGTGCATTGAATCTAGGATCAGAGAAGACATTTTATCTCAGGTGGCAGCCTACCCCTTTGGTGACACATTTTTCTCTACGTACATCTTCGTTTATCCATGTATTCATGAAGCAAAATCAATTCATTCAACTAGTTGACTGAATATCTGTGACATCTTTGAACATCTCTACATACATCTTCATTCAAGTGGCAGCCTATGCTTTTGAACATCTCTAACGTCGAACATGAGCAACTGAACAAGTTGACTGAGCTTTTATTGATTGAGCATGTATTTATTGCGACTTTTGCAGGTTGCCATATTTGTGGTTCTAGCGATGGTACTACGATGTAAACCTGATGTTTTGATCAGTCTTCTGTCAATAATAAAAGAGAGTTCTAAATATCAAGGGACAGAAAAGCTTCCTGTCTTATTGTGGACTATCACACAGGTAACCAATTAAAACAAGTACTATCTTTTGGAGGATAAGAAATTGAAGATCAACTTTAGTAAATAGTGGATTTTTAATAGGCTTGTCAAGGAGACTTGATTGTGGGGCTGTTCATGTGGGTGCACTTGCTCTTGCCAATATTGAGCAGTAAATCAGGCTGTAATCCTCAATCCAGAGACCTTATTTTGCAATTGGTTGAGAGGTAAGAAACATTTACTTAGAACCTTATCTTTAAATATATTTATAATTGGAAAAATCACCAACCTAGCCACTTATGGCTCAAAAATTCACCAACTAGCGTTTTTTTCGCAAATTAATAGCTAGTAAATCTGCAAATTGGCTTAGCAAATTTGCGGATTTCATTTTCAGACATTTTCTGTCAGATAGTGGCCATATCTTAAGCCGAAAAGCAGAAGACTTGCTTTCACGACCACATTTTGTGTAGATTTGCGGAGATTTACTTGGCCAATTTGCGGATTTACCAGCTATTTCGTGATAATGTTTAAAGAATGGCTATTTCTGGTGATTTTTTTAGGCAAAATTGGCTAGTTTGGTAATTTTCTCTTTGTAATTCCTTTATTGCCAAGACATCCACTCTACTCTTGGGATAGAGGATAAGTCTGTATATACACCCCACCTCCAGGTAGGATATTGGGCTCGTTTTGTTTGGTTTGGGTATTATTAAGATGTTAATTCACTCACAACTGTAGGATTGTATCTTCCTCAAAAGCTCGTACAATTTTAGTCAATGGTGCTGTGAGAAAGGGGGAGCGCCTGGTGCCACCGGCAGCGCTGGAGCTTCTGATGGGAGTTACCTTCCCTGTTCCTACAGCTCGGCACAAGGTGACTGGCTCTTTGGGATAACATAGCCTTTTTTTAAACTTTTCCATGTTAACTTGCTAAATAAGTAACTTAAAATCAACGAAATTGGATTTGGTATTTTTCCTACCAGGCAACTGAGAGATTTGAAGCGGCCTACCCCCTCCTAAAGGAGGTTGCTCTTGCTGTTGCCCCTGGCAGTAAAGCTATGAAGCAACTTACACAACAGCTGTTACCCATTGTTGCAAAAGCTGCTGGACAAGGCTAGAAAAACTTTCTTCTTTTTTGCTTGTCTATTCTCTCTTTGGCTATGTTAGGCAAACTAGCTATTTGCTTATAAGCTAGCTGATAAACTAGTCATGTTTGGTAAAAACTAGCTGAGAAACCGGTTGACAACGTAAAATTACTAAAAAGGATAGGGTTTTTGGTCATTTGTGTAAATATATAAGGGGCATAATGGAAAGAAAAAAGTGAAAAAGCCCATCGAACTTATTGGAACGCTATCTGACTAGCTTTTAAAAAAAACTAGTTTATGGCTTACCAAATGGGGTCCTTTCGATAAACTCATAAAATAAGCTAGCATATGGTTGCCAAACATGGCCGTTGCGGTATCCTGAATTATCGACATAATATTATTGATGCCTAATATTGAATGCTATTTACAGGCAATAACGCTGCTCTGGCAAGTGAAGGAAGCAACATCTTCTTATGGTGTTTGAGTCAAAGTCCCGACTGTTATAAGCAATGGGTAAAACCATGTTGAATGTCATTTTAGATATTTCTCATTACTTGTTTGTTGTTGCTTGGCTCTATATGGTTCTCACTGTAACATTAAAAACAGGACGACATTTATCTGGATAATCTTGAGGCTAGTATTGTTGTTCTGAGAAAGCTGTCTGATGAGTGGATGATTCACTCGGTTAAGCATTCAAGTCTTGAGCCTCTGAAAGCAGCTTTGAAGAGTTTCTGTGATAAGGTAACTTATTCTTTATAATTGTTTGATTTAGTTGAGGGATATGATAATCCATACTTCTCGGAAACCTCTTTGTCTCGTGGGACAGAGGTAAGGTCTGTACATCTTGCACCCCCAACCCTACCTTCATGTTGTATATATTAGGTCTTTTTGTTTTAATTTAAATATGATAACGCGTACTTCTTATACTACTCCCTCCATCCTGCAAAAGTTATATTTGAAATATTTGGGGATCTCTGTTCAATATCTAAAATACCCTTCAATATATAAATGAATATTGTGGATCCCGGTCGATACTACTAATTTACTTATGATGATAATAGTAGGCAAACAGGTATGGTTTAACAATCACGGGTATGGGTGTTTTTTTTGGCTGAATGGGGACAACACACCATACCATGCCCGTCTGTGTGAATAAGTCATGTGCAGTGCGAATAAGCCGCAAGTAAACACCCTTTTATAGTTGGCCGACAACTATGGAATTCATTTCGATTTGCTCTAGCTTTTCGCAAAAAACAGATCTTGAAACTTGTCTCATGTCTACATGCACCCCACCCTCTCAGCCCCCACCTCCAGGTGGGATACACTGGGTTCGCCTGGTTTTGTTTATATGAACCAATTCGAAGTGATTTCCTTTACCAACTCTGGTCTCTGATTGTTGCATTATAGAATCAGGCAGCATTGACCAATGGAGACGGTACCCATGAAGCATTATTGAAAGAGGCAGAGAAGCAGTGCAAGATTCTACTAGCAAAGTTTTCTGGGGGCCATCGTTGCTTGAAGGCTACAGCGTTTCTAACGATTACAATGGCTGTTGGTGTTGGTTTGATCGTCAAAGACCCTCAATTCTGGAACTTGAAGGAAATGGTAGATTTCGACATTTTTCGGGCTTTTACTTCTCTCTCTCATCATTGAAGTAAGCAGAGAAAGGCATAGAGGTAAGTAAATAGGTGAACCCATAATAAATAATGGGTAGAGGGAGATAAATGAGTCCGTTTTAGGAGCTCGTATGCGGATGGATATCATCAAGTCATAGATATATATTTAGTCGGAAGTTTTAAGGTATACCGAAACGGAAACATAAACATAAGGTGGTTTGTTGTGCTTTTATTCTGGAAGGAAACTGTGGTATATTTATGGTTTGTGCTTACAGGAATCAAATATTACCCGTTTCCTGCCACGATTTGGTTTAATAAACATACCCAAATTCTGGCAGGAAAACCGGATAACCATGGTTATTCGGTTTAATGACCAAAGGTCTGATCCCCAGCTCACCGCGTCGGTGGTCGTTAGAGCATCTCCGGCATATTTCTTCAAATATAAAAAATAAAGATTGATATAGAGGTGAATTTAATTTTTAAGATTTTAAATTTTAGAGGAATATATTGGAGATGGTGGAGGAGTTGAGGTATACACCTTTGTTACATTCCATTCTTATTTGGTCCCTACAAATGGTTTGTTTTATAGCTGAAAAACCATCACCTTTTCCCATTATATATTCCAACTTTCCTTTTCTTTTTTCTCAAATACTTTACTTTTTTAATGTATTTTAGGTTTAATTATGAGATGAATAAGATTTCTCTCTCTTATTAGAGTATACATAATGGAGATTTTTGTTCAGGTTTTTCCTGTGATTTTTATAAAAACTACTGTTGTAGGACATAGATTTTTGTACAATCAGAGGTTCTTAATAGAAGTCAGATACTTAAACAAGAACTTAGGTTCTTATATACATTCTTTTTTATGTTATTATTTTATAATTATTATTTTTTTAATAAATTTATAAAATATGTAAGTTACAATTCATTAAAAAGTATAAATTAATTATTATATACAAGTTTTTGTAATAATAGTTTAATTTTTATTTTCGTTTCTTGTAAATTTTTATACAAGTTTTTGTATAGTTTAATTTTTAATTATCTTATTATATTATTATGTTATATATATATATATATATATATATATGTCATCATATGAGTCATTTCTCACCTCTCCGTTTCAACTTGGTTGAATATATTTGATCGAATCGAGATTACGAGTAATCTATACTAGTGTGGGAACCGCACGTTGCGTGTTAGCATGAGTACTTTGGTTAATGATACGAAAATTGTTTATATAAATATATGTTAGTTGTTTAATATAATCATCAACAAAATTTTAACATATATATATACATACACATGTATAGAGAGAGAGATATTTGTTTAGGAATAAAGTTGTAAAATTAAATAAAATGAGTAATAATAATTAGGGGTGCTCAAAAACCCGTTGAACCCGATCAACCCAACCCGATTTTTTTTTTTTAAAAACGAACCCGAGGTATCCCGAAGGTTGATTGATTAAAAAATTAAGTAACCCGACTCTATTGGGTTGAAATCGGTTTAGGCCCATTAAAAACCGACCCAACCCGATGACCCGATTGGAAGCCCAAAAGTAAAACACACGGGAAAGCTTTGCGTCCATCATTTTCCGGTGCTCCTTGCCTCCTTCCTAAACTCAAATCAACAAAACTCAACTCCCTAACCCTAAATCCCTAATACARTCGAGTAGCATAGCAGCGGCYGAGAGCAGAGCAACATCGACACACAYAGCCGTGCGACGGTGCGAGTTGCGAGAGGCCGAGAGCAACATCAAGATTCGAGACTGCCTTGCGAGTTGCGACATCGAGAGTTCGAGAYAGCCTTCGATTTACACARCCTTCGATAGCATYGACAGTTCGACACAGCCTTCGGTTCGGAYAGCAACATCGAGAGTTCGAGACAGCCTTGCGATACATCGACACAGCCTTCGATTTACACAGATAAGGTAACACAACACCTTYGATTTACTGTTAYCGAAGTACATAGCTTTACATACCTTCGATTTACTGTTAGACAGYTTTCTTATCGATTTACATACCTTCGATTTACAGTTTTACAACCTCAATTAGTATGGTCACYAGAGGAAGACATGCTCTTATGTGAGGTAAAGTTTACAAAAATCCCCCTTTGATGGTTTGTGGTTCCTCCATTTACCTTTCAGTTTCTTGTTCACGATTTACATAGACTTTAATATGCCTGTCWTTGTGTGTATTAATAAGTGCATATTTCAAATGGTGAATATGAATTCARGATATTTGGCATTATGCTTGTGTCTTTTATAGCTTGAGATTGCATTGTAGCCCTACCATATTAGTTGCATCCGTTATGAAGTTCCAAAATGCAAAGGTGGTTGCCTCTTTGTTCTTTTAACCTATTGATATTGTGATATATGGCATGACAGTATTTCATGTGTCGTTTATGCAATCCAATCCTGTTTATTGTGCTTGTGGACAGATGTTTTTTGCAACTTCAGTTCTGCATGTACACCTCATGCAATGGGAAGACGGAAGCTTAGTTGAAGGTGCTGTAAGTAGATGCAATGGTGTTTGGGAATCCATTGATCATGACAAAGTAAGTCTATTTTTCTCTTACTGCAAGATGTCCACTGACGAGTATAAACTTGACATGAAGTTCCAAATTAGTTGCATCAATATTCTGGGTCTGCAGGTTAGGGAGGTGAGGGTTGTCAATAGAAGCTGTAAGTTGTTCGGTTTTCATATATGAGACAGGACTGACAATGCTGTGAAGATTTAGGGGTGATCAAAAACCCGATGAACCCGATCAACCCGAACGGGTTGGGTTGGGTTGAAAATTTTCAAACCGCCAACATTGGGTTGGGTTGTTAAAACAACTCCAAACCGATCAACCCGGGCCGTGAGCACCCCTAATAATAATGATGGGGGTGTGGATATTTTATGCATTGTTTGTCTGATTGATGATAAAGTTTTTTTTCTTTCTAAAAAGAGGATGATACCTTTACCGATTTTTATAAGAAAATAAATAAATGTACGTCTAAATCGCACATCAACTAATTATATGTAAAGATATTAACCAATCATTAATACATATAAATTACTGTAGAGAACAATTCATTGTTATAAGACGAATGATGTATATAAATAACAAAAACAAATACTCTCTCCGTCCCAAAATAACTGTGTCCCCATTTCTATTTTAGTTTGTTCAAAAGTAAGTGTCCACTTTCAAAAAGTAATGTCTACTTTCCAACTCTACTCTTAATTATGAGAGAGAATTCATTAATCTCTCAATTATTAATAATAGAATTGTCATTTAATTAATTAAAAAGTGTAATGATTGCGCATTTAAAATTATGAACATGTATTTTGGGAATTAAGCATGTATTAACACAAATTTCAAAATATAAATCAATAAATATATGTTTTTATCTAATCAATAAATGTTTGTATCATTAATATTCTAATTATTATATTGATGATATATATATATATATATATATATATATATATATATAGACTTGGAATCATATGAGACCAAGGGTTTTTCGTGAGACCCGTAAGACCAATTCTCAACCATTGGATTAGATCTACAATCAGAACATTCATAATCACAGAATTGCCCCGAGACTTCTTAATAATCACAAAATTGCCACCATGCAACTTTAGACCATTAGATCATTAGCTTATAAAGTTGATCAATGAACATAAATTGGTCTTATGGGTCTCACGAAAAACCTTTGGTCTCACATGAACCCAACCCTATATATATATATATATATATATATTACATAGATCGAAGTCAATGTAAATTAATAAATATTGATCAATTAATATTATTTATCGTCACTAAATTTTAGATTATGGAGAGAGAAAGGAATAGATTGATATAATGTAAATTAAAAAAGTAAAATAAATTGATCTATATATATACATATATATATATATATATATATATATATACTAGGTTAGATCTCGTGTATTATACGGGGTAATTTGAAAAAATTAAATATTGTCAGGAACTTATCTTTCATATATAAATGATCATCGAAAGTACGATGCTACTTTAAACTTGTACTCTTAAAATAACTCTGAAGTATATAACTTTTCAGACTTGAATTTAGAAATGAAACTATATCAATAATTAATTAAAATGTAGTTAACCCTAGAATTAAATTAAATTTAGAAAGAAACTTTATCAATAAATTAAATTTAAACTTAGAAGTAAATTTAAAATGACTTTTTAGACTTGTACTATTAAAATAACTCTGAAAAATGACTTCAGACTTGTACTATTGAAATAACTCTGAAGTATAACTTTGAAGTAAAACTCTTCAGACTTCATGCTCTGTATAGGCAAGCCAGAAGCTCTGCATGCACTATGCAAAGGCTCTACATGGTACTCCGTCTGGAAAAGAAGACTTCAGAATTCGGGTGAGCTAACTCTGAATAATGGCTCTTCAGACTTGTACTCTTGAAATAACTCTGAAGTATAAAATCAATCACACTAAATCAGAGTTCAGACTTCTAAGTCTAACAAAAAGGACTTTAGAGTTTAGACTTCAGAATTCGGATAAGCTAACTCTGAAGAATGACTCTTCAGACTTGTAGAAGACTTCAGAGTTCAGACTTCTAAGTCTGAAAAAGAAGACTTCAGATTTTTTTTTTCTAAGTCTAAAAAAGGATTTCAGAGTTTAGACTTTTAAGTCTGGAAAAGAAGACTTCAGAGTTCAGACTCCAGAGTTCGGGTGGGTTAAGTTTGAAAAAAACAGACTTTAGAGTTTGGATGAGCTAACTCTTTAGAATGACTCTTTATACTTGTACTCTTGAAATAACTCTGAATAATGACTTCAGACTTGTACTCTAGAAATAACTCTGAAGTAAAATTCTAAAAAATGACTTCAAACTTGTACTATTAAAATAACTCTGAAGAATGACTTTTCAGACTTGAATTTAGAAACGAAAATATATCAATAATTAGTTAAAATGAAGTTAATCCTAAAATAAAATTTAATTTAGAAATAAAACTATATCAGTAAATTAAATTTAAACTTAGAAGAGCGTCTGTGTCAAATCTGAAGACGAAATCTGAAGACCTTGAGTTAATAGTTATTCAAATACCCAATATTTTTGAAAAAAAACCTCATGATAAAGTTTGCATCATACAAAGTAAGACCAACCAGAGCTCCTCTGACATCTAGAAGCCAGACCACCCAGAGGGGCTCTGTCTTACAATACTTAGTCTAAGTCTTAAAGACTTATCTTCAGAGTTCAGACTTCTAAGTCTAAAAAAGTAGATTTCAAACTTATTTTTCTAAGTCTAAAAAAAAAACTTCAAAGTTCAAACTTCAAAATCTGAAAAAGAAGATTTCAGAGATCAGACTCTAGATTTCAGAGATCAGACTCTAGAGTTCAGATGAGTTAACTCTAAAAAATGACTTCAAAGTTATTCTCTTAAAATAAGTCTGAAGTAAAACTTTTCAGTAAATTAAATTTAGAATAAAATGAAGTTAACATGTATCAAATATTTACTCATGACAAATGTGAGATAAGCAAATTTAAGAGAATGACCAACAAGTATCAAATATTTACTTATGACAAGTCTTTTTTTAACATAACCACAACATTTATAATTAGTTGAAATCTTTACCAACAAACATAAACTAAATTAAACCACAAAACCCTCATCTGCTTTTTCTAATTTACACCAAATTCTACCCTACAAACCCAAACACAAACAAGCTGCAAATTAGTCATTTAATTGGCTACAACTCCGGCCAACTCCGCCTGCACTTTCCGGGGCCTACCTCTTGGCCTACCACCACCACTCGCCGCCACCACCTTCACCTTCTTCGCCGCCGGTGCTGCATTTGGATCCTTCCTCGGCCTTCCTCTTCCCCTCTTCATCTCCACCCCACTCTCACCCTGTACTACTGGATCTTGCGTTTCTACACCACCCGATGGATCCTTGGCCTTCGCCGGCCGTCCACGCCCACGTTTCAAAGGAGCATTCGGGTCGGGTCGCATATAGTTGTTCTTCACGAACACAAGGTCGCCGCTGTCCTTTAATTTGTTCAGATGATCTGTCAACTCGTTTATGTGTCCATCTGGTAAATCACCGTATGTCGATTCTATGAAGTTTGATATTGATGACTTGTTTGATCCTTCTTTCTGCTTTAAACCATCAATGGCTTCCAAAATCATCTGGATCATAAATTGGATTCAAATTTCAGATCCCAATTGGAAAACAATTACAAGATTTGGAGTAGAAAATTGAATGATTAATTGTGTTACCTGTGGGTATGGGGGAAGTGAAGCTGCCATTGGAAGTGGAATTGGAATTGGAGGATGATGAAGAAGACCCCACAAAAATGTCAGCTTCAAAGAGAACAGTTGCAGGTGGATTTGTGGGGATGGAGACGATGGTATTTATGGGTAGTTTGAAGAGATGGACGGCTGTGATTGACGGAAGGAACTGTGGCGCGGATCGATTACGTGGCAGGTGTATTATTGGTTCAAAGTGTTTTTGTTTGTAGAAAGAGTAAACTTTAACACTTTTCCACCTTATCTCTTTGATTAAATTACGTTTTTAGTCCCTGTGGTTTGTTAAAAAGTTCAATTTTTATCTTTATGATTCTGAATATATAATTTTTACTCATATAGTTTATAATTCATTTCTATTTTAAATCTTCTTATACCTAAAAATAATATTTCGATCTTAAGGATGAAAATATAAATAAATTATAAATTATGAGAATGAAAAACCAAAATTTAAAACTATAGGGATGAAATATGCAATTTTTAATAAACCACAAGGACAAAACGTAAATTACTCATATTTTTTTTATCAAAATAAAGAAGCAACGTGGTCAAAGTTCATTGGCTATCTAGGTTATGTTTAAGACAAATTATTGGGTGAGTTGGGGATAAATTTTTGAATTAAATTAATTATTCTTTTAGTTTATTAAAGAAAAAAAGATATTTTATATTTATAAGGAGGTTGTATATTTAATTAGAATCATATTTTAAATTATATACATTTAAAAATCTCTAAAATAATTTTGTAAATTCTAGTCCATTTTGTATAAGCTTTTTTTTTAACGGTGTGTTGCAGGGCCTAAAAGTAGGAAATTTATCTTATAGATGAAAATAATAATCAGTTACAAACTATAAGGATGGAAATCGTAATATCAAAACCACAAAGATAAAAGTCGTAATTTTTTTAACAAACTATAAATTATTTTAGGGGTGTTTGGTTAGCAAAATGAAATTTGTTGGAATTCGATTTCCTAAAAGAAATTTGACCATGCGTTTAGTTGCACGTGAAGTCTGAGTATGGATTAGTTTTAATGGACTATGATGGCAAATATAGTTTCTAGCGAGTGTCTGAGCTCCACCTTTGCTGAGTTGATCATCTAGAATATTTAAGGTCTTGGCTCAACAATGACCTAGCTGGCGAGGTGATGATCCTAAGGATTAGGAAGGAAATGCTAAGGCGAAAAAAGCTTGGAGAAGATGTACATGGGTATATCGAATTCAGCGACAAAGTCTAGTCTTAATTTATGTCTTGTACTATCTCAGTTTCCTTTCATTACTTTCAGTGTACAATCTATGTGTAATAGGTCTAGCAATCACTGATGTAACACTTGTACTTTTCCATTGAATAATATAAGTATTTCTTTAGTGTCACTGAAAAAGATCTCTGAAAAGAGTAATATGGACAAGTATCTATGAGTTCCAGATTACTCTTATATTCACTGACAATCTTCAATCAGCGAATAAGCTTTCAGTTTCAGTTATCATGTTTGTATTTGTTTCTCTTAAACTTGTAATTCGTTACAAACTATAATAAACTTGTATAAAAAAACTATATCACTGAAAAAGATCCCAAGAATTGTTAAAAGGCTTGTACTTTACTTGTAACTTTTTCTTACTATTATAATTTAAGCAAATCTCTTTATGTTGCTTTGTCATCATCAAATAGAGGGTGATTATTGATTCTCTCTCATTGATTTGATGATAATCTTTTTTACCTATCGAAGTATAGTATTTCTGTTTATTCAATTTCAGCTATCATTATTGAGTCTGTTAGTGATCGTTGAACATGTATTATAACTCCTTCAGAGACTGTTATACTTCAAGAAGATAAAACTCACACCACATATCCTTCAACAATGTCCATGAAGATTAGAGACTAGCGCATTCATCTGAAGTGACATTCAGTGATAACAAGCTCGTCTACATATGTGTAAAGACTGCACAAGTTTCAACGAATGCTGAAGAGACCTCTAGTGTCATCCCAGCATTCAGTGATCAAATGAAGCTTACCATGCATGATTGTTTTTGTCTTGTCCTCCCACACACTAAGGACAAAACCCTGCATTTTCTAGAGTATAATACAATACGAAGCTACTCAGTTGACTCCATAGTGCTTACCTACTTTATGAAAAGAAGACTACTCATGAACACGACAAGACTATTCACTGTAGCAATGGACAAGCTTTCCTTCAAAAGCTTGACACGTATTATGTACCTTCTGAATTGCATTTAATGCAATAGGTATAAATAATTAAATGCTCTCTACTCAGTCATAACTCTTACTCTTCTCTCTAAGAAACTTACCCAAAAAGTTACTTTTTTCACTACTCTCTCTCTCTCTAAAGAGAAAGGACCACTTTGAACAAGTGAATAACACTTTTCTGAATCTTTATTTCTTATAGCAAATCTTTTCTCTTTGCTAAGTGTAATAGTATGTACCTTAGATTGTTTAGATAAGTTTCCTTATCTTATCTCTTCCGCAAACAATCTGTAAAATTTGTATTGGTCTTCTTTGTCAATATATAATTTTTAAAAGTGAAGGTTTCTGTATTTATATTCATCCCCCCCTTCTACAAAGTGATTACCTATAACTCTTGTAGATCTGGCTGGGACCAACAAATTTGTATACTCATATATTTGTACTACTCTTTATCTAATATTTAATATTTTCCATCAAGATGAGCTTGAATGAATATCATGAAGAGCCATATTGGACATTAATGGAACTAGTTTTGATGAGGATAAGGTTCAATGAATTTGTTTGTAAGTGAGAATAAGTTTGAATAGGAATTAACTTAATACCATTACTTGCAACCTTCGTTCGAATAAAATGATAGTCCCCTGTTATGTGTTTCGTCCTCTCATAAAATGAGATTAATTGCTAACTGGATGGCAAACGTTATCACAAAACCTCTAAGGATGGAGAAGAAACATAAATGCCAAAATCTTGTAATAGTTTATACAACAACATATGCTCACAACTAGTGGTTGCCATAGCTTGATATTTATTTTCTATACATGACCTAACAACACAATTTGTCTCTTAGAACATCAAAAAACCAGTGAATCCCCAAGGAATATACTGCATCCCATAACAGACCTCCTTGTGTATCTGAGCATGCTGCCTAATATGAATATGAAAAGGCATTCAACTGTGTATGATAATAAAGATCACATTATGCACAAAGTTGTAAGCAAGGGACAGACCCAGTTAAGTGGCTACAGCGGCATGTGCCACCGTATTGTCTTTTCGATGTAAGTTAAAAAAATTAGGTTCGTGAAAGGTGCAATTGTATTGTTTTAGAAGTTGCTATTGTTTTAGGAGATGCAATGTGGAAAAATTCTAGGGTCCGTCCTTGGTTGTAAGAGATTTTTTAGTAGAAAGAAAAACACTTGTCTAGGGTTCTTTCTAAGATAATGAAGTAATGACTACTCATAAAGTGACTCAAGCAGTGCACAAGAAATGAAATATCTGGTCGTATGATTGTAACATGAATTGGTCTATCAATTAATCCATGCTATTGCAAAAGACCTTTAAAAAGATCTCTTCTTCATTGATAAACAAAATATGAATTATAAGATCATTGGACATATATTTGGTTTAGCAGCCACCCGTTCTGGACCTTCTAACAATAGATTATAATGACATTGTGATTAGATACCTGGATTTCACAACTTAAAGGATCATAGAATAGTTAAGATGACCAAGATCTTTAAGCTTAAATTTACTACTAATACATGTTTTATCTGTTGAATGTTTGTAGCCAATGGTCAAGTAATTACTATGTCATTAACCTAAAGCATCAAAGCAACAGCTGAAGCACTTGTACCTCTGAAAAATAGAGAATAATTAGTTTTGGATTAGACAATAAGTCTTTATTAATTATACTAATCTAAAATTGGCATACTACTTCTTACCTAGAAACTTGTTTGAGTCCATAAATAGACCCCCTTAATTTTGTAAACCATATGAATTTCCATATAAACTTATTCATTCAACTCCCTAATCAAATACGTTAATGACATATAGTTGAAACAATTCTATCAAATTGAATAAGATGTTGACTATAACAAGTTTTGCAACAAACGGATATGTATCGACAAAATCAACCCCTTCATGTTTTGTGAACCCTTTAACGACTACTCGTGTTTTGTAATGTTCTACACTTCTATCTGCATGATATTTCACCTTATAAACCCATCGACACCACTAAATTTTTTCCAAGTGGAAGAGGAACAACACCTAAAGTGTTGTTAGCCTTCATTGCATTCAATTTCGATGCAATGTAGAACAATCAGTGGTAAAGTATAATCTTTGTTGATTATACGAATACCCAAGAAAATCATTTTCTAAAACTTGTTGATTACAGGAATACCAAGTTTTAGGATATATTCGAATCCAAATAACTCATGAATTTGGATGGGGAAGACAAGGTGTAACATTCGTCATGTAAGTGATAGTCCACATGCTACAATTAAACTATAAAAAGGAGTTCAAAAGTTATGGGCTTGAGAACATGATGGGCCAAACATAAAAGATGTTGGAATACGAGATCCATAAACTTAGTGAAAATAACCATATTTCTCCAAGAATCCATATGAAACGAAGTAGGATATGTGTTTCAAAATTTTACCTGAGCAAACAACCACCCTTTGACGTCGTATCTGAATCCAATCCAACAAACTCAACTTATTGCCTCCACAATATTCACATAAATGCTCTGAATCTAGTTGACGTCCAACACCAAAAAAGGAGATCCTGTTTCTTTCCGAATGCTGTATATTGTCTCCAACTCGTTGGAGAGAAAGAGTAGCTTGAGAAATATAGAGAGAAAGAACTAACCTGGATGGATAATTGCAACACCTTCCCATTTTCTCACAATGGGTCTTGATATTACTAGTGCTTAAACACTAATTTCTATATTTATATATAGGTCATTTTTTTATTAACCTAATTATCCAACCTGCTATGCGAGCCGACTAATCCTAGGACGACTACCTGCTTCGCGGATAGCTTGGAGTCACCGATTTGAATCTTTGTGGCCAAAAGGGATCTTTATTCTTCATTGGGTTCGAACTTGAGACCTCCAGACACTTTTGACTTTTGAAGCCCAAGCTCAAACTATTCGGGCACCACCATTATTTGAAGTTAATGATTAGGAGTTAAAGTTAATGATTTACCTATTTTTATTCTACGGAAGGCTTATTTGAAC